TGTTTCTGTTGTATTTACCAGCAATTTGCTGAAGCCATAGAAGGTGGTTGCCACTAACCATGTCCAGTTGGGTTTGGGGTTTCAGGGAGAAAGAGGAGCCACAGGGAGCCACCTGCAAGAGGAGAGCCAGAGCCACCAGCTGCCATGCTGAAGGCAGCAGAGGGACACAGCTGGGAGGCAGTAGATGCCTTGTGAGCTTCTGGCTGAGCCGGGACTCCTTCCCTGAAACCATCGTGTCTATCTCCCTTCACAGGTGGGCTCTCAGGAGCCACTGTTGCCCCAAATGGACCTGCCACTCTGTGCACAGGTGACTGGAGTGCACACACCGACTCCCAGGCCCAGGCAGCTGGCACTGTAACACCAGGCAATAACAACTGCAGCCGCAACTAGGGCAACCTGTAACAGGGTGTTGGCATGGCTGTTTTCATACTGTGCCCTGAGACTGAGACAGTGTCGGGGAGAAAAGAAGAAGAGAAATCAAGGCATCCCCAGAGGCCCAGGGAGGTGGTAAAGCCAGTCTCCAGAGTCTCCAAAGGCTTCGTCCCCACCCCATTGGCCTGTCTGTCCTTCCTGCCCTGGCCCATGTCCAGTCCTGGCTCTGTTTAACTCAGACAAGTGTGAGCTGTCCCTGTTACTTGAAACCCAAGGACAGGAGGTACAGGTGGCAGGGATTCTGGTTGTTCAGAAAGGGCCTTCCCGTTGGTGCCCAGCCTGGTGGTCCCACCCTACCAGTCTGTCCAAAGGAGACAGACACCACACAGGTCATTTCCTGCTAGAGAAAAAAAAATGTGACAACAGATTTCATGGCTATCCCTGGTATGGCATTTTGTCTGAGTAATTTCCTGATATGGTTTCTTGTATGGCAGGGAAATGAGTGACATTATGGCTGGTTCGCTTAGATTTTGTCAAATATTCTCTAGGTGCGAGTACACCTGTGGTCTTGAATGTTACAGCTACAGTGCCAAGCAAAGCAGGACAGGCCCTGACCTTGCCAGCTCCTCCAAATGAACAGTCCCTCTCCTAGGGTGCTTGACACCACACACCTGCAGTTTGGACTCTGCCCAACAGAGGGCTGGGCAAAGCCTGAGTGGAGTTCAAGGCTTTCAGGAACCTGATTTAGTCGTGCATGTGACACACTTAGGTCCCCTCGGATGCTGCTCTGATCCAATGCACCGGTTCTGGATTCCAGGCTTCTGCCTTCACCCTGAGATCTAGGCTTGGTTCTGACTTTCTGTGTGAAACCTGATTCCTTGTCTTCTAGGTTTCAGGCCTGCCCTTTATCATCGAAGCAGGTCTCTGACCCCTTCATCACTAGAACTCTGGTTCAGACCAGGCTGAGAACTCGACACCTGTCCCTTGTCCGAGACACGCTCAGTGCTCTTCCTAAGAGCTTGCCCCTCAACTTCGCCATCACCATTTTCTTCACATGCTTAATGAGAGACTCTTGCTAACTGCTGAATCTTTCTCTCCCTCTACCACTGTATCACCTGCCACTTGTCAGAGGACCCATGTGATTCCACAGCTCTATCCACATTACAGGCCTCCATCTACAATATTTATAGGGGCACCAGTCACAACACCTAGCAGGCAGCAGGTGACAAGGAGGCAGTGTGGTATGGCAGAATGAGGGACAGGAGCCCAGGCAACCGGCACACCCTGGTTCAGACCTGTGCTCTGAGGTCATGTTTCTTAATGTTTCTAGAACATAAAAGGACTGTTCAAAGTGTTCTGTGAGGGGCCAGCATGGTGGCACAGCAAGCTAATCCTCTACCCTGTGGTGTCTGTATTGTGTATGGAAAACAGTTTGTGTCCTGGGTGCTCCACTTCCCATCCAGCTCCCTGCTTAAAGCCTGGGAAAGCAGCAGAGGATAGCTCAAAGCCTTTTGGCCCCTGCACCCACGAGGGAGACCCAGAAGACACTCCTAGTTCCCAGCTCCAGATCAGCTCAGTTCTATGGCTGTTTGGGGAGTGAACCAGGGGATGGAAGACTTCTTCTAGCTCTCCTTTTCTCTCTGTAAAATTCTGTTTCATAAGGAGCTTTAGTCTGCAGCTGCAGCCTGACTCAGCCCTGGCTGTGGTGGCCATTTGTGGAGTAAACAAGTGGGTGAAACAGATTTCTCTCTTTTTCTCTCTCACCCATTTATTCCTCATTTTGAATAAATAAATTAACTTTTCTTTAAAATTTGTGATGCCAACTTGTGATACCAGCATCCCATATGATGCTCAGTTTGTTTCCTGGCTGCTCCACATCCAATCCAGCTCCTTGCTAATGGCATGAGGAAAGCAGTGAAAGATGGCTCGGGTATCTGGGCACCTGACACCCAAGTGGGAGGTCCAGATGCAACCCCTTGCTGCTGGCTTTGGCCTGGCCCAGCCCTGGCATTGTAGCTACCTGGGAAATGAATCAGCAGATGGAAGATCTCGCTCTCTCTTTTTCTCTCATCTCTGTCTCTCTCTGTCTCTCCCTCTTTCTCTGTTTGTAACTCTTTCAAAACAAATAAATAAATCTTAAAGTTTATAGTTCAATAGTTCCAGGCTATCCAACGTATTTACATTTTTTTAGATTAAAACAAGAGAGATATGATGGCTTAACAGCTGTTAAAAAGACAAGATTTCAACCATCTGTAGGTGGATAGAAATCAATAGTGTGATGGTGATGCTATTGCATTGCCAAAAAAGCATGTGTGATGCTGGGCTGTACTGATACACAGGCGATGCTCAGAAGATGAGTAACCCTTCCCCATCAGTCAGAGCTGGCAGTAGAACCAACCATTGGGCCTATTTCAAGAAGGATTTGAGCAAATTGGAGTATATTCACAGAAATGTGAAAAGAGGATGAGAATTTGCGAATACCATTTGTAGGTGCCGGCACTACTCACCCTGGAGGGATAAGGCCTGTGAGGGGGTGAGACACCATCTTCTATCAGTGCCAGGAGACTGGAACCCTAACATGTGAATTTCTAAGTTGAACAAGTCTATTTCAGCATAATCTGTGGGATAACTAAAGCCAGCTACAACTGGAATGGCTCATCCCTTCTTAATATGACAGTTTACCTTCTATCATTTACCAACTGATGTTCATTTTTAAGTACATGCATTTTTTACTTGTTACTTATTTACTGGAAAGGCAAAGTACCTGAGAGGGGGATGCAGAGAAACAGAGAGAGCTTCCATCTCCTGATTCATTCACCAGACAGCTGGGTCTGGAACAGTTGGAGGCCAGAAGCCAGGAACTCCATCCTGAGCTTCCTTGGGAAGCAGGGGACCAAACACTTTGGGTCATCTTCTGCTGCCTTCCCAGAAACAGGGAGCTGGATCAGAAGTGGAGTAGCTAAGATTCAAACTAGAATTCTAATACAGGATGCCAGCACTGCATGCAGAGGCTTAACCTACTGCACCACAGTGATAACCACCTTAATACCCATATTGTATTTTAAAAAATATTTTTTAAAAATTTTATTTGAAAGGTAGGCTGGTTCACTTCCCAAATGCTCTCCACAGCTCAGGCTGACAGCCAAAGCCAGGAATTCACCCAGATCTTCCCTGTGGGTGTCAGGAACCCAAGCACTCAAGCCGTCACTGCGGCCTCCCAAGGTCCATTAGCAGGAAGCTGGAATGAAGAGCTGGAGCCAGGTTGAAGCCAGACTCTCTGAGCCGGGATGCAGGTCCCTTAGGCACTAGGCTATAGGACCGATAAGCCAGGAAACAGTGTCTGTGCAGCTCTTTCTCCCCAGGAAGTTCTGTATCCATGTGGCTCAAAGGATCAAATAGGTACTTTTGCCTTCTGGGACAAGCACCCAGTTTGTGGGGTGAGGTAGCAGCCCGGCATCCTTCCTATTCCCCATTCCCATTCCCTGCTGTTGGACCAGAGTACAGACAAAGGAGGCTCAGGACTGTGTCTGTCATTAGCAGCTCTGATGAGAATGGAAGGATTCCTCAAATCCTTTAAAAAAAAAAAGAATTTTACTTATTTTTATTGGAAAGGCATATTTATTTACACAAAGGAGAGACAGAGAGAAAGATCTTCTGTCAGCTGGTTCACTCCCCCAAAAGACTGCAGTGGCCAGAGCTGAGCTGATTTGAAGCCAGGAGCTGCTTCTGGGTCTCCCATGTGGGTGCAGGATCCCAAGGCTTTAGGCCATCCTCTACTGCTTTCCCAGACCACAAGCAGGGAGCTGGATGGGAAGTGGAGCAGCCAGGACTTGAACCAGCACTCACATGGGATCCCAGTGTATACAAGGCAAGGATTTACCACAAGGCTATTGTGCCAGGCCCATTTCCCTGATCACAAGATTGTGTTCATCTCTTCCCAACCCTTTATAAAAATGACTTCACGGGCCTGGTGCGGTGGCCTTGTGCCTAAAGCCCCCACCTTAAATGCACTGGGATCCCATATGGGCACCGGTTCTAATCCCAGCAGCTCCAGTTTCCATCCAGTTTCCTGCTTGTGGCCTGGCAAAGCAGTGAAGTACGGCCCAAAGCCTTGGGACCCTGCACCAGTGTGGCAGACCTGGAAGAGCTCCTGGATTCAGATTAGCTCAGCTTCAGCTGCTGCTGTCACTTGGGGAGTGAATCATCCTACGGAAGATCTTCCTCTGTCTCTCCTCCTCTCTGTATATCTGACTTCACAATAAAATAAATAAATAAATAAATCTTCGGAAAAAAAAAAAAGTGACTTCACCTCAACAGTGTGAAGTTGACTGTGATGGGAATATTTTCCCTACAGAAAACAGCCAACTTCACAGATGGCACCCCTACTGTTGCCCACTGCCCCCTGCCAGCTCATATTCCAGTGCTCAATGCTTGGGAACCCCTGTTTCCCAGCAGCTACAGAGCTGGCCCTGCTGAGGACCACAGGGCTGCTGCAGACTCCAAGAGTATGTGTCTAGAAAATGTATACTTAGTGCTGATGGAATTCAGCCTTTGTGTAAGGGTAACATGGAATGTCACTAATTAAATTACTAATTAATTTAGGAATCCCAAATGGGTGAAATACTTACAGCAAACTAGCTGAGGGAGACTAGGTGCACTTCCAGCTTCCTTTTAGGCCACTATGTTCTTCCTTTAGAAAACCCACCATGGTTCCCGTCTGTGTATTTCTGTGCCTATCTCTCCAGGGCACAGCTCGTGACTGTGGAACACAACAGGAAGACATCTCCAGGAGGGAGATAAGCAGATAAGCTTTCCGCTGGCCGGCACTTGTCCTGCACAAGAGGCTCCTTGTGCCACCTGTTAGAATTGGCAAGAAAGAACATTGGTCAGCATAGAGACTTATTAGGCTAATCCTCCGCCTATGGTACCAGCATCCCATATGGGCACCAGTTTGTGTCCCGGCTGCTCCACTTCCCATCCAACTCTGCTAATGGCCTGCAAAAGCAGTAGAGGATGGTTCAAAATCTTGGGACCTTACACCCATGTGGGAGACCCAGAAGAAGCTCCTGGCTCCTGGCTTTGGATTAGCTTGCAGAATTTCCGGCTAATGGTGATTTCCTGCACAGGGACTTGTCAAATGCAGTTATCTCATCATAGTTCTGCCTTAACGTAGTATATGGTTGCTGGAGTCTTTTACTTTTGAATCAAGTGCTGAGTGCAGGTGGCATTGTAGCACAGTGGGTCACACATCTGATTGGGATGCCTCTATCTCATGTCAGGGCAGCTCAGCTCAAGTCCCATCTCTGCTTCCCATCCAGCTTCCTGCTAATATACCTGGTACTGATGCTGGCTCGAGTGCTTGGCTTCCTACCACCCACATGGGTGTCTTGAGTTCCCAGCTCCTGGCTCCCACCTGGCTTGGCCATGGCTATTGTGAACATTTTGTAGTATACCAGTGGGTGCAAGATCTTTCCCTATTTCTCTGTCACACTGCCTCTCAAATAAGTAAATGATTAAAACATTTTTTAAGAAAGTGTTGATACTTTTTATATATTCTTTTTTTGAAAGATTTATTTATTTTTATTGCAAAGTAAGATATACAGAGAGGAGGAGAGACAGAGAAGATCTTCCATCTATTGTTTCACTCTCTAAGCAGCCGCAAGGGCCAGAGCTGCGCTGATCCAAAGCCAGGAGCCAGGAATTTCTTCTGGGTCTCCCATGTGGGTGCAGGGTCCCAAGGCTTTGGGCCATCCTTGGCTGCTTTCTCAGACCACAAGCAGGGAGCTGGGATGGGAAGTGGAGCAGCCGGGACATGAACCATCACCCATATGGAATCCTGGCACTCAGGGTTATATAGAGGATTGCCAGTTGAGTCAATGTACCAGCCCCTCACTTTATCTTCCTGTAACTTTTTAAATGGGCATGAATATTCCTCTTTTATAGATAGAAGAAAAACTTAGGGAGGTTAAGTGGCTGTTAAAAGTTTCTGTGCTCCGGCAAAGAGGGTTTACAATGCCCAAAGCTGTGTATACAGGAGACATTCCTTTTACAGTGTTACTCGGTGTGAATAAGCAGGGCACCATTCTTCCCAAGGCTTTGTGCCCTTCTACCCCTTCGCCTCGCACCAGCTTCTAAGGGAGAAGATGCGATGTGTTCAGTCATGTTGCCTCTACGCATGTGCCGCGGCAGGAGAAAGCAGCACTCACTAGTTTCTCATCACCCGGCCAAGACTTCAGCTGATCTTCCCAGCTTTGGGAGCGAGTTAACGGAGATGTAGGCAGCATCCTGCAGCCTTTGTCATTTTATCGCATCAAACTAAATTCCAATGCTGGCCACTCCCTTTTTGATCCAGCATTCCTGCTAATGTACTTGGGAAGACAGTGGATGAGACAGATTTGGGTCCCTGCCATCCACTGGGGAGAGGATGGAGTTCCTGGTTCTTGGCTTGGCCTGGCCCAGTCCTGGCTGTCAAAAGCATCTGTGGAGTTAATCTTGCTCCATCTCTGTCACTCTGCCTTTCCAATAAATAAATAAATAACTCTTAGAAAACAAACCCACAAGCCTGGCACAATACCCTAGTGACTAAATCCTCACCTTGCATGTACCTGGATTCCATATGTGCACCGGTTCATGTCCCGGCTGCTCCACTTTCTTTCTAGCTCCCTGTTGGTGGCCTGGGAAAGTGATAGAGGATGGCCCAAAACCTGGGACCCTGAACCTGTGTGGGAGACCTGGAGGGGCTCCAGGCTCCTGGCTTGGATTGGATTGGCTCAATTCCAGCCATATGGTCACTTGGGGAGTGAATTAGGAAATGGAAGATCTTTTTCTGTCTCTTCTTCTCTCTGTAAATCTTTCCAATAAAAATAAGTAAATCTAAAACACACACAGACACACACATAACAAGGCCTAGTAAAGGTGTAACTGGAAGATAAGATATCTGGATGAACTCAGTGGATGTTCCAGGCATGGCCATTGAGTAGGTACGCTGAGTGCGGCACCCAGCTGACACATTCTAAAACATCTCTTATGCCCTTTACCAAATATTTGGGAGAAGAGATCAAATCCCAGTCACCAAGAAGACTAGAGGAGTTTGGGGAGGAGGAGGCACAGAGAGGGGAAAGTGACACAGCACCACAGGGGCATAGAAGAGTAAGTCCATGGGCGACAGCAGGGTTCTCCAGAAATGGTGAATGCAGGCACCTGTGCTGACCTTAGCTGCTTCATAAAACACTTGACGTGAGGCACAGAAAGACATGTGAGGGCCGAGAGAACACATTGCCTCTAAGGAGGTCTTTAAAAAATTTTTTTTAATTAAAAAAATTTAAATTTTAAATTAGGGCCTGGCGGCATGGCCTAGCAGCTAAAGTCCTCGCCCTGAATGCGCCGGGATCCCATATGGGTGCCAGTTCTAATCCTGGCAGCTCCACTTCCCATCCAGCTCCCTGCTTGTGGCCTGGGAGAGTAGTCAAGGACAGCCCAAGGCTTTGGGACCCTGCACCCACGTGGGAGACCTGGAAGAAGTTCCTGGATCTTGGCTTCGGATTGGCATAGCATCAGCCATTGTGTTCACTTGGAGAGTGAATCATCGGAAGAAAGATCTTCCTCTCTGTTTCTCCTCCTCTCTGTATATCTGACTTTCTAATAATTAAATAAATCTTTAAAAAAATTTTTTTTAATTAAATCTTTATAATTTAAAAAACTTTTTTATTGTGAAAGTCAGATATACAGATAGTACAGACAGGGTGGAAGATCTTTTGTTCAATGAATCATTCAAGTGGCCCAACGGCTTGAGCTAAGCTGATCTGAAGCCAGGAGCCAGGAGCTTCTTCTGGATCTCCCACATGGGTACAGGGTCCCCAAGGCCTTGGGCCACCCTTGATTGCCTTCCAAGACCACAAACAGTGGGGCCGCTGGGATTAGAACCTATGCCTATAAAGGATCCTGGTGCATTCAAGGTGAGGATTTTAGCCATTAGGCTACTGTGCCAGGCCCACAAATTTTAAAAACTTTAAAAAAATTATTTGAAAAAGAGAGAGAGAAATGTTCCATCTGCTGGTTTACTCTCCAAATGCCTGGAACAGGCAGGGCTGGCCAGGCGGAAGCCAGAAGCCAATGACTCCATCTGGGATGCCCATGTGGGCGAGGGACTCAAGTAGTGAAGCGGTCACCTGCTGCCTCCCACAACAGACCCTAGGAGACTCAAACCCTGACATCAGCTTAACCGACTCTGCATAGTGGGGCTCGAACCCAGGCATTTCAAGTGGCAGTTTAATGCACTGTGCCACAGTGCCCCACATGCTTTTATAAATCCTAAGACCTTCAGAGAACTATAGCAGTGGTTCTCAACCCTGCTTATGGGATCACCGAAAGTATTAAAAATTACTGTGACATGGATCCCTTCCCCAAGTTTTCCTCTTCTCTCCTGCTCCTCCCTCCCCTCCCTTGCTCAGCAGTGGGAAGGAGCCTGTAGATGGAAGATTCTCACGCTCTCTGCCTTTCAAATAAAATGAAATAAGTAAAGCAAAAGAGGAGATTCTGGCAGATGACAGTTCATTTTGAAAGGGTTTTTTTGGGTTTTTGAAGAAAATTTCAAAAAAGGACTATTTTAAATTTTAAGACATGCAGAGAACCCAATAAAGGAAGCCGAGTTGCCGGTCCCATCAGCCCGCGGGGCCCAAATTGGAGGACGGGCTTCGGTGAAGCCCCTAAGAGCCACCGGAAGGGGACGTCTGATGCCGGGAGAGGGAGCGGCCTGTCCAGCCTAGGCTCTGGGCAGTCAGCAGCCCAACGCCGCTCTGCTCGCCTCTGCCTGCACACTGCTGCCTCCTAGTGGTCAGTACAGCTAGAGGCTGGAGAGTAAGGCAGTGAAGCCCATCTGAATTCAGTCTCGTAATAAATATACATCCATATTTACTTATTTATAGTGGCCGGCTCAAGTCCCAGCTACTCCACTTTCAATCCTGTTTCCTGCCAATGGGCATCCTTGGGGCATCCCATAATAGCACAAGTATTTGGGTCTCAACCACCTTCATGGGAGACCTGGAAGAGTTCCTGGCTCCTGGCTTCTACCTGGTCTAGCCCTAGCTGTGGTCGGCATTTGGGGATGAACCACTAGACGAAGATCTCAGAGTTCTCCCCATCTGTGTCTCCGTTTTTCTCTTAAAAACTTTCTTTTGGGGGGGGGGAGGCGGTGTGGCCTAGTGGCTAAAGTCCTCGCCTTGAACGCACTGGGATCCCATATGGATGCCAGTTCTAATCCCAGTGTCCCTGCTTCCCATCCAGCTCCCTGCTTGTGGCCTGGGAAAGCAGCTGAGGACGGCCCAAAGCCTTGGGACCCTGCACCCATGCAGGAGACCTGGAGGAAGTTCCTGGCTCCTGGCTCTGGATCAGCGCAGCACCGGCCGTTGCAGTCACTTGGGGAGTGAATCATTGGATGGGTTTTCCTCTCTGTCTCTCCTCCTCTCTGTATATATCTGACTTTGCATTAAAATAAATATTTTTTGAAGTTTTCTTTCTTTAAACAAAGTTAGCCTCCTGGCTGGCAAGGGAAGGGGTGTGGGTCAAATGTTCCTGCCAGCCTGGCCTAAGGGGGCCCAGTTTGTGTGTGAGAGTCTTGCCTCTTATCAAGTGGCACTTGCCTCAGCTGCCTCAGCATTCTTGTGAACGACAGACAGCAGCTGCTACAGTTGGGGCCAGGACAGTGACCCTGTTGGAGAGCTGGTGTACCCAGAGAGGTGACCTCCCGGAGTGGGTGGATGATTTCTGGAGTGTGCTGAGCACAAGCCACTAGGACTTTGAAAACTGCCAACAGGTGGATGATAGCAGGAAGGGGAAAGAATACAGTGTTGTTAGAGTTTACGTTTGAAACAGACTTCTCAGGGCAGTGCTGTGGTGCAGTGGTCTGAGATGCCAGCATCCCATACTGGCTATAGCTGCATTTATACAAGAATGCAATTGTATTGTATAAATGCAGCAGTATGAAAATATTTAATATGATTAGTTACTAGTTTCACACATTATTTAAAAACCCAATCCTAACTCCAATTTAGTGTGCAGATGAAATGAGTTTCCATGTTCACAGGATGGATCCTACAAGCTTATCAGTAGTAACAGCAGTAATTTGCAGTAATTCGTAGTAACAAGGAGCCAGGTTCATGATTAAGGGGGAGGAACTCAGCCTACACAAGACCATACACAAGATGATTCTGACCGCAGAAAATCCAAATCCCAGGGGTGGGTGTTGTGGGGCAGTGAGTTAAGCCAACACCTGCTGGGGAACTCGAGCCTGGTTCTAGTCCCGGCTGCTCCTCTTCAGATCCAGCTCCCAGCTAAAGGCCTGGGAAAGCAGTGGAAGATGGCCCAAGTTCTTGGGTCCCTGTCACCGCTTGGGAGACCAGGAAGAAGTTTCTGGTTTCAGACCCCCCAGTGCTAACCATTCTGGACATTTGGGAGGTGAACCAGCAGGTGGAATATCTCTCTCTTCCTCTCTCTATATAAATTTCTTTCAAAACAAGCAAACAAATAAAACTCGAAATTTCAAAGAAACCTGTATGCCAAATGAATAAAAAGCATGTGTAAGGATTGCCTGAAAAAGTAATCTCTCTGGGTATGGTTTTTCACTTTTCTATTTCCCAAAAAATGTGCAGTAAACACACACCTTTTCGGTGAAGTGATTAAGAACAATTTCCTGGCACGGAGTCTCCCTAGTTCTCACCCTTTGAACTTCCTAGTGCGCACACACCCATCCTGCAAGCCAGTCCTCCACAGCAAAGCTTTGTCCCGCCTCTCAGGAATGCTAGCCACTAGTCCACACTGGAGCAGAGCTGAGCGCTTCGTCCTGGACGAACCCCGAATCCGAGCCCCGCATCCTGCAAGGGGGGGTGCACGACGTATTAGGAGTTAACGATGGGAAACAACAGCAATAATAAACACAGTCTCGAAGCCCAGCGACCCCAGGGCGCGGTTGGTCCTGTTCTGGGTGCTGTCTCAGAGACCTCAGCTTGACCCGGTCCCCTAGCCCCGCACACCAGCGCCCCCAGTCCGGCTTGGGGTGCCACGGGTCCAGGCCCTCAGCCCGAGCCCCCCGGTCACCCGCGAGCCCTCAGCCCGAGCCACCCGGTCACCCCTGATCCCTCAGCCCGAGCCCCGTCGGTCACTCCCCACTGGTCACCCGCGAGCCCTCAGCCCGAGCCCCGTCGGTCACTCCCCAGCCGCGCTGGTCACCCCCGAGCCCGCAGCCCGAGCCCCGCCGCCGGTCACCCCCGAGCCGCGCTCGCCGCAGGAGCTCCCGCCCCGACTACCGAGAGGAGCGCCTAGAGCGGCCGCTCGCCCCGCCCCTGGCCGCCGCCTCGCCCTCCCGGAAGTCACTGCCGGGCGGCCGTTAGCGTTTTATCGCTGAGGAGAACCGCGGGAGCCAGTCGTCCGGGCCGGGCTCGCGGGCCGCCGACATGCCTGTGAGTGCCGGGGTGTCCGCCCGGGGCTGGGCCGGGGGAGGCCCGTGGGGTCCGCCGGGGCCCGCGCTGCGGCCGGCCGTGTGGCCCCGCGGGCTTGTCGGGACTTGCCCGGGCGGCGCGGCATGGCGGGGCCTGCGCCCGGGCGGTCGTGGGCCGGGGTCCTGCCCCTGCTCGCCGCGGGGCCGGGTGGTAGCGGGCATCTTGGACGCGGCGTCCTGCGGACGTTGCGGAGGTGCCTCCCTCACCGCCTCGGTCCGGGCCAGGGGCTGGACGCTCGGAGGCTTTCGGGGACGCCGTGTGCGCTCCACGTCCGGTTCCGTCTGCCGCGGGCTGGACTGTGACACTGGCAGTAATCCTGGGCTTGTTTTGCTTTTCTTGTTTTAACTTTTTAACAGCTGGCCAGAGATTTGCTACACCCCTCGTTGGAGGAGGAAAAGAAGAAGCATAAAAAGAAACGGCTGGTTCAGAGTCCAAACTCTTACTTTATGGATGTAAAATGTCCAGGTAAAAAAAAAGAAAAAAAGCCATGTCTTCATTCTTGTCTGAAGGGCAATTTCTCTAGGAATTTTTTTTAGCGGGCGTGGGTTTAGATACACTGTAACCGTTGAGTACTAGTTAGGTGACAGAATTGGGAATGTTACAAGGACCGGGTTCCCAGTAGACGGTGGGAGAAACTTTGCAGGATTTGTCCGGAAGTCTTGAGGCTGTGGGGCGCCTGACGTTTCTTTTTTCCCTAGTGGAATGACGCGGCTGCTGAGCCTGCAGTCTCAGGTTGCCCTGCCCAGTCCCGGTGGCCATTAGCCATATGTGACCATGGAGCGCTTGCCCGGTCACAATGGAGATGGGCTTGAGGTTCAAACCCTGGCTTTTGAAGAAGTCCTAGGGAAAAAAATCGGTTTTATATTGAAATGGTAATGCTTTGGAAATAACAAGTCCAGTAGAATATTTCCCCTTAAATACGTGGCTACTGGAAAACTTTGTCACCTATGTAACATATGTCACACAGTGCTTTAAGTTCGTCCTCCTTGAGGAAGTGTGTAAGTAATAGCTGTTTATTACCAGCAGTTAGTTGGACAGGGCCATGCTGTCTTTGCTTTTTAGGTTGCTACAAGATCACCACGGTGTTCAGCCATGCCCAGACAGTGGTCCTCTGTGTAGGCTGCTCCACTGTGCTGTGCCAGCCCACGGGAGGGAAGGCCCGGCTCACAGAAGGTAGGAGTGTCTGTAACACTAGATGAATAACGACCACCATAAGTTCCTTAAAAGATGTATTTGAAAAGCAGAGCCACAGGGAGACAGATCATCCATGCACTGGCTTACTCCTCAAACGGCCACAACAGCCACTTGGAGAAACTTGTGTATTCTTTTGCTAAGTTGTGGGTACTGATTCTTTTGTGTTTATTCACTTAGCTTGAAATAAATTCACCAAAATGGAGAGTTTAGGACACAGGGATTTCTAAAGCCATAGAATTTTAAATTTTGTAAATATTTTGTTTCATTTGCATTTGGTACATAAGAGGTTTTTTTTTTTTTTAAGATTTATTTTATTTTTATTGGAAAGGCAGATATACAGAGAGGAGAGACAGAGAGGAAGATCTTCCATCTGATCATTCACTCCCCAAGTGAGCGCAACGGCCGATGCTATGCCGATCCAGAGCCACTTCTGGGTCTGCTACGCGGGTGCAGGGTCCCAAAGCTTTGGGCCGTCCTCGACTGCTTTCCCAGGCCACAGGCAGGGAGCTGGATGGGAAGCAGGGCCGCCGGGATTAGAACCGGCGCCCATATAGGATCCCGGGCGTGCAAGGCAAGGACCTTAACCACTGCGCCACTGTGCCAGGCCCAAAGAGTATTTTTTTTTAAATCCTTGCCAGTTAAGCAACAGTTACATTGAAGCGTCAGGAGTTCTATTTTTATGAGCAACTAATGGTAAATATGTATATATCCTGTGGTCATACTGGCACATTTACAGTTTGTTAATGGTGTTTGCAATTTGCTTACGATATTATGGGGAGCTGGGAATTGGATGTTCTCACTGGGGAAGTTAGACCTCGAATAGCAGTGAATCCAAAATCCACTTGGTGTGGCATGGTGAGATGTGAATATAAAATCAGTAATACTTCTTACACTTGGCAGATTTTTGAAACATGTTGTGCTTGGTCTTTGAATTTCTGTGCCTGTCTGCTGACAGATGGTGCAGAGTATATTTGTACCAGGGTTTCCCTAACAGATCTGAAAAGAACTGTAATCCAAATTACTTTCTTGAGAAAGTTATTCAGAAGGGTTCCAAAAATTAATAGGTCTTCCTGTAACAGCTTGTATAAACTAGTTTTTAACTGTTAAATTAAAAAATGGCAGCTACAGTTATAATCCTATCAGAAGACACTCGGAGGGTGAGCCAGCATTGCCATGAACTGCCTGGGACTGAGTCTGCTCTCTGCTTCTGATGAAGCTTCTTGCTAACGCACCGGGGTGGGGGTGGCAGAGCGGCACTGTGGGGCACTGTGGCCTGGGAGACCCAGGTAGAGCTCCTGGCCTTGGTCTGGCCCAGCCGCTGCTGTTGACATTTCAGAGTGAACCAGTGGATGAAAGATCAGATTTCTCTCTTTCAAATACATAAAATGTATAAGACCCTCAGATGAATAATAGCAGAAATTGCTGTAAGAGGATAAGTCTGGATCTGACAATTAATTGAATGAAGGTGTCATATTCACCGAGTTACACCAAGGGCAAAATGGACTTGAGTCTAATTTCTCCTTGTGATTCCTTTGCAGGCTGTTCCTTTAGAAGAAAGCAGCACTAGTGACCCGTGCAAATTCCTGGATTTGTGTTTTCTCACAGAAAGCCTTATCATAAGTTCAGATATTCTGGTGAATCTACTAAGAAAATGTAATTTTGTTTGACTTTATAAGGTATTCAAGTTATCCCCTATTTTGATGTCAGTTTTTCAATAAAGTTTTGATTATGGGCAAACCGGCTTGCTTTTAAAAACTATGCGTGCTGCTAGTCAAACATTTACAGCTGTTCTGATAACAGTTTGCCTACTTATGGGAGAGAGGAACCTCTGACTATTCATAGATCTTCTCCGGCTGCTGTGGATGGACTCTGTTTCCTTTTCAGTGTTGACATCTGCACTCCACAACAGAAGGTAGAAGCTTTTAGTAGTAGGCAGTGTTCAGCAGATCTGGGCTTAAATTCCATTTGAGTCTTCAGAATTGATGCCACAATAGCAAAGTGTTCTCTGAGTTTATTTCTCTCTCTCTTCCTCTTATTTTCTTGCCTCATAATACCGCACCTTAGAAATTAAGAATAGTTCTGTCACATTTAATTACAAGCTTAACATTTAAAGTGTTCTTAGGCAGAGTTTTAGTCTCAGTTACTATACAGACACAGACAACCCTCAGCTTCACCTTGCTCAGTGTTTGGTATCCATGAGTGTCTAATTTTCTCACTTTAGATTTTATATGTCATGCTGTGCATGCAGACATAGAACCTGACTGTTAGCTCATCTTTGGCTTTTTTTTTTTCCCATTTTTACTAAAACTATATTGGTAAAATTCCCTGCCAAACTTTTATGAACTGGTACATTTTCAGACATGCTTTTTTGATGGAAAACAGTAGCTGAACAAATTTCCTAGCAGTTTACAGTTTGTGGTCTTTGGGAACAGGGTAATTTCTACCTCACAGTTGTTTCAAAGGTAAAATGAGAATATACGAAGTGTAGCTCGGTGCCTTTGACAGTAAGTGCTGTTGGGTTTTTGTTTGAAGAACTGGTCCTAAGTACTCTATCTTGTCCCCTGGACAGGAGCATGGACGGACAGTTGTGTGCTCTGGCTGGTCATACCTAGGGTTGTTCATGCTGTCCAGCTCAGGGTTCAACAGGATCAGAAGGCCCATAATGGCATCAGAGTCTCCCATCCGGCAGTTGGCTGGACCGGCGTCCTTACATGGCACTTGCAGAGGAAAGGAAACCTGAAGACCTTGGAAACCAGGCCTTTATACCACAGGCAGAGCCAGTCACGTCCCCAGACACAGATCATGCAGGGGTGTCTGTGAGCCCCTGCACCCACATGAGACCTGGGGAACCTGGCTCCTGGCTTAAGAGGAGCTCAGCTCTGGCCCTTGCTGCCATTTGGGGAGTGAACTAGTGAGTGGAGGATCTGTGTTTGTGTCTCTCTTTCTGTAACTCTTTCAAAAATTTTTTTTTAAGTTACAATAAAGATCAAATATAGAAATTCTTATTTTTTTTTAAAAGATTTATTTATTGGAAAGTCAGATATACACAGAGGAGGAGAGACAGTGAGGAAGATCTTCCGACTGATACACAGAGGAGAGACAGGAAGATCTTCCGACTGATGATTCACTCCCCAAGTGAGCGCAACGGCCAATGCTATGCCGATCCAGAGCCAGGAGCCAGGAGCTTCTTCCGGGTCTCCCTCACAGGTGCAGGGTCCCAAGGCTTTGGGCCATCCTCGACTGCTTTCCCAGGTCACAAGCAGGGAGCTGGATGGGAAGTGGAGCTGCCGGGATTAAAACCAGTGTCCATATGGGATTCTGCCGCGTTCAAGGTGAGGACTTTAGCCGCTAGGCCACGCCACCAGGCCCCAAAATAGAAATTCTTAATTTGGGGTCTGTATATTGACTTGTTTTCTGAGAAAGTAAACAGCTTTTCTCAGCTTCAAGGACTTTCTGAAACAAGTGCTTTGTTGAAAATATAGTCATTAAATTGGCAGGGTTTTCACACTCTGGATCTTCCTGCGCCTTCAGTTCAGCCACACTTCACTTGCCTTGCTGCCCAGCTCATGTCCCTTTCTTGTCATCTTTCAAATGCCATTGTTTCAGTAGCTCTCAGCATTTGCTCTTTCATTCTTTAGAATCTGTGTGAAGGTTCCAAAGCTTACATAGACATCATGTGATCACATTTTAAAAGGTGGATCTCAGCCTCAGAACCATTTAAACAAATCACTGTTAGTTTCATTTGCCTTAAAATATGTGATGCATATTTAAGTTAAAAATCAAAGGAAGCCACCATTTATCAAAGACAGCATGGATTGAAGAATTTAACAAAAATGAATGTAAATCCTAGCGAAGTGAGAAGTCAGATGGCATGGGTCTGTTTTAGGGAACTGCTGCTCCTATACTTCGACAAACTCGGGAAAAGCCATCAGTTTCTACAGGGAAGAAACAGGCTTTGCCATCAAGACGATGGCAAATTCTTCATTAGGCTAAACTTTCCTTTGGAAGCTTCCTGAATTCAGAGCACATGAGACATTTGCAGTATGCACCACCTATGGCAACGACACATTGCCCAGTAATGCCAACACTACAGCAAGCCCGATGTGGAGCCAGTCCCTAGGCAGGCTCCCAGGGATCCCCACCCTTGTATGAATATAATCCTTCCCGACAATCAGAGTTGGCCTCTGTGATAAACGATTTGGCAAAGGTGATGACAGCACATGACTTTCAGGGCTTGAATAGAAAAGACACTGTGGCTTGGCCTGGTTCTCTATTCACTGAGGGAGGCCACAACGCTAGCAACAAGCAGACCAATGAAGGAGCCATGTGGTGACATCTCTTCCCTGTACCCTCAGCCAAGCTTTTCAGACAACCGACTTCCCGACACAATTTAGCTGCAGCCACATGAGAGAACCTGAGTTAGAATCGCCCTGCTGAACTGCTCTTACACCTCTGAAACACAGACACTGCAAGACACATAACACTGTATGAGCTAAAAAATGACACAAAGGCCACATAGTTTCTGTTTATGTGAAATGTCTGTAGTAGGCAAATCTAAAGAAGTAGAAAGTAGATTGCTAGGAGGGCCTGGATTGAGAGTGAATGGGGAGTGTGAACAGGTGTTAAGACTTCTTTAGGCAAAAATGTTCTAAAATTAGGTAGTGATAATGAGTAATAATCCTGTGAATACACACACAGAGAAAAAAAAAACCCTAGACAAACAAAAAAACCCCCCACAGATTGTATATTTTAAAGGTTGAATTCTATGATATGTTACCGTGAATTATAACTGAAAGTGTGTCTGATAAGTGAGAGAAAGATGGGTGGATTGGGAATGCAACAGTGGTTGTTAAGTTGAAAGGAGTTAGCTGAGTCCTTCAGTGAAATCCCGAAAAACCTTGACAAAACTGTTAGTGTGATGGTGTTTGAGGAGCCAGCAGGTGTGGATTTAAGTAAGAAAAATCTTACTGGAATTTGGAGAAAAGGGCATACCTGTTACACAGTGGCTGGAAGTTTGAGCAATAGCAATGTCTGCAGGAACACAGTAAAACAAAAAGGGTGAGTGGTCAGAGGGGGATTTCCATACTCTGTGCCGGCTGCTCCTCCTAGATTCTTCTGGTTCTTTTTATCAATATGCAAGAGAGAAAAACTGAGAAAAAGATTATTAAACAGTAATAAATAATTGGTGGTTTAACAGTTTTTTCAGGCTCTTAAGATGGCAAATGATCCTAAAATTATGTCAAGGCAAAAATGAAGTCCAGGGTACTTCCAGAAAAACATGCTAAAGGCAACAATAACAGTTTGAGTGTAGAAATGCTTTTATCACAACTTCACAAAAGATACCAAACGGCAGCCTAGAAAACCACTTAGACAATAGGACTTACCAGTTTAAGTGTTTTTTAGCAGAATCCCAAGTTAAGGAGAAACATACTTGGAAGGGTTTTTTGGTTGTGGTTATTGTCTGTTGGCATGCATTAAAGTAAGATGTCAGGGTACTAAAAAATACTTTTAAAAAAGTACATTAGCAAAAACACAAATTTGACTAAAAGGAGAGAACATAGATGTTTGAACCCCTAACTTTTACAAATCGAAAACAGACTCAGAAAATCCCTCAGCGTGATCCCATGCTTCCTTGCCTGACCACAGGAATGTACAGGGCAGAGCCACGTGGCCGGAGGGCACGGCCGAAGGCCAGCATTGTGCCCAAGCTCAGAGTACTCAGCTGGGGCTGCCAACAAACTCCCAGGCAGACACCAGAACTGTTACAGATGCTTGTATGTCCTCCATCCCTGCACTGCTGGAGGAAGGGTCTGGAGCATCTGTCCCGCATCTTGTAGTACTATGTATTGCACATGTGAGTCAGTAACTAGTTCCTAGAGCTTCAGATCAGGGGGACCCTCACCTGAGTAGTCCCTAAAGAACTACCAACTATAATCAAGTAACCTCTCTCATGCTTGCGGGGGTGAACCGTTTTCTGCCAATGGCCATTCATACATTTATAACATCATTTGCAAGCCATATAAAATAGTAAAAAACTTGCCTACTATAGATTTACCAAATTTGTGAGTCCAGTCTGCAGTTACTTTGGTTACCAGACCAAATCACTTCACAGGCCTTATGCAGCCCGTGAGATGGATATTCCACACTCCTGAAAAACACTGGGCTTTGAGCTAATGCTGCAAGGGATGAAACTTTGGAAGACCTGGAAGGATATATGTGAGGAGACATGAACAACTAGGACCAGAAGTCAGACAATGGTAGCCAATGCCATTGCTAACTGGGACCTCCAAAGATTTCCTTCTGATATTCATGCTCTGTGATACCCCTCTAATGTCTTTTATCAGGTTATGTACAACTTATGGAACATGTCAAGCATGATAGCAAAGTGACTTGTGAGGCTGGCTTATACAAGATAGTGACTTCTGCATGGCAGTTACACTCTCTTACTCAGGGGAATGCCAACTGCAGTGACATTAAGACATGTGAGCAGTCCTCCATGTGAGTGAACCACCTTGAAACCCTGCAGACAGAACTAGGGAGTCCTTTGGATGACTGCAACACCCTTTCTGCAACCTGATTAGGCTGCAGTAGGCCTACTCCACTAGAGTCCTATGATGGGGGTGTATGCTGAAAAATGCACCGGGCTAGCCTGTCGCTGTGTGCACATCATCCGGTGTGCTTATGCACCAAGACGGACGGCTATGACATCACAGGGCAGCAAGACTTCAGAGGAGCACTGTGGAATATACACTCATTGGCCAAAGCATTGCCAGGTGCCATGTGACTGCACAGGACCCCTCAATTCAGAAGCCTCTGAAACTGAGATGACAAATTTTATTTTTTTTAATCTACAAATACTATGTAATGAGGAACATGTATTTTGTCATAATCTTATTCTTATTGACGCATTAAAATATATGGAGATTCTTGTTGAATGAGACTTCTCTATGTTACACAGAGTACGTATTTTTACCAGAATATTTTATTTCTATAATACTTTTTTCCAAAAGTTAAAAACAATATAGTTACTTCCCTGAGTGTAAAGAATTAATTCTACAGTAAAAAGATGGTTACAAAAGTAAGCAATTAGAGGTACATAATTCTGTGCATTCAATTATATATTCTATTACAAATTTATTCTTTAAAAATCTCAAGTACTTTGGAACTTTTATGTTTCCAAAAAGAAAAAAAATGTTTAAAAAGCCCCAAATAGCTCATTTCTTAAAATACTGTTCTCAATCTGATCGGTCTTTATCAAATTCCAGGGCAATCTTTAAAGCAGTACCGTTGAGACCAACAGACTGCATGTTACATATGATGGAGACAACTACTCCCCTGGGGGGCACCTTGCCGGCCATCTCCTCTGCATCCAGCTCTTCAGGGAGCACCAGCAGGACACTGCTGGCACCCACGGCGCCCCCTGTGTGCGAGGCGTAGTGCCGCTGCTTCCTACAAGAACCGTAGGTCTGCTTCTTTTCCACAACACCCCACGCCATGGCATATTTACCCTCTCTGTCCCAGGACATCTCCGTGTTAGGGACTGGCGTCCACATCATGACCATAGTTTCCGGTTTGAGATATCCAGGTAGAAGGTTTTTCTGTGAATTCTTAAACTGCCCGACTTGGTAGCCATAGAGCATCGCATTCCCAAACTTCAGAAGGTCACCTACTGTTGACAGAAATCCACCACCAGCCCACTTATAGGAGTTATCCACATACGGTGTGTTGACAAGACGTTTCTTTTTATTGTAAACATAAAATCTAAAATGAAATAAGAATGGTCATTAAAATTTTAATAGTATATTAATGAAGCTACATATTATAGAAAAATGCATACAATTCAGACTGTATTTCAAAGTAGTGATTATATATTCTCTGAAACTATGAACTAAGCACTAATTTTTATTATGATCTTTTTTTAAAGGTTTATTTTTATTGCAAAGTCAGATATATACAGAGAGGAGGAGAGAGAGAGAGGAAGATCTTCCGTCCAATGATTCACTCTCCAAGTGAGCGCAACAGCCGATGCTATGCCAATCCGAAGCCAGGACCCAGGAACTTCCTCCAGGTCTCCCACGTGGGTACAGGATCCCTCAACTGCTTTCCCAGGCCACAAGCAGGGAGCTGGATGGGAAGTGGACCTGCTGGGATTAGAACTGGCACCCATATGGGATGCTGGTGTGTTCAAGGTGAGGACTTTAACTGTTAGGCCATGGCGCCATGCCCTATAATCTGGTTCTTAATGACACACATATAACTGATTAGTTTAATTATCTTGTGAATTAAAGCATAGAACATGGTTTTGGCTTGTCTGTGACTCACGTATCAAACTCTTAATACCTATAAAAATGCATTAGTAAAAAAAATGCATTAATATTATGGGGTTGACACCATGGTGTAGTAGGTTAAGCCCCTGTGTGCAGTGCTGGATCCTTTATGGGTACCAGTTCATATCCCAGCTGATCCACTTCTGATCCAGCTCCTTGCTAATGCATCTGGGAAAGCAGAAAAAGATGGCCTAATTTCTTGAACTCAGGTACCCATGAGGAAGACCCAGAGGAAACTCCAGGCTGTGGATCTGCCCAGCTCTAGCCATTGCAACCATTTGGGGAGTGAGGTAGCAGATGACAGAGCGCACGCTCTCCTCCTCTCTCTGTAAAATCTGCCTTTCAAGTGAAGATGAGTAAACCTTTAAAAAATGTAGTCATACTATACAATGCCTTGTGTTAGCATATGGGCAAATTCTTCTCCACTGGTAGATATTCTTAGTTCTCGGGCTTAACATTCAATAACATACCCAAAGCGAATTTTGTCACTGAAAGTTCACTGTGATGTTTAGGAATAAGGTTAACAATTTTTAAGATTACAATTCTCGAATAAAAATAGCATATAAACACCAAGTATAATAAAGGGATACCCTATTGTGGTATAGTGGGAGAAGCTGAAGTTAGTTTGAAGTTAGAACCCCAACTTTTACCCATGCTGATTTCATTTGAAAAACATATAGTGGTAATATCTACCAAGCATTGCTCTATAGATTTTGGAAATACAAACTCATTTATCTTCTTACAGTATCAGGAGACAGATACTGTTACATGTCTCTTCCAGCAGAATGGCAGTGCTCCCAGGTGTGACACATATTGCTGTGCTCTGGGCCCGCCCCCAATGCCAACGCGGAGGTGAGGACCTGGGCACTAATGAGAATGCTGCTGCACTGTCAGCTCACAAAACTCCAGCAAAGAAGCTCATTCCAGGTAAAGCAGAGAATCAGAGTGAGTGGGAGACTGGTGGTAAGGCACTCAGCAGCCAGGGCTGGACCAGCTGAAACCAGGAGTCAGGCATCCCATCCAGGTCTCTGCTGTGGGTTGCAGGGATCCAAGTACTTGATCCATCCTCTTTCCCAGGTTGTACTGCTACGAAGATGGATTGGAAATGCAGAAGTTGGGACTTCAATAAGTACTCCGATATGGAAATGGAGTATTTTTTTAAAGATTTATTTATTTTTATTGTAAAGTCAGATATATATATGTATATATATATATATATATATGTATATATATATCGAGAGAGAGAGAGAGAGAAACAGAAAGGAAGCTCTTCCATCAGCTGATTCACTCCCCAAGCAGCCTCAATGACCAGAGCTGAGCCAATCTGAAGCTAGGAGCCCAGATCCTCTTCCAGGTCTCCCACATGGGTGCAGGGTCCCAAGGCTTTGGGCCGTCCTCGACTGCTTTCCCAGGCCACAAGCAGGGAGCTGGATGGGAAGTGGGGCCGCCGAGATTAGAACCAGTGCCCATGTGGCTACTGGGCTGGGCCCGGACTGTGAGCATTTCAAGCAGCGGTTTAACCCACATGCTAAAACATCTACCTCCTGTAAGTTCCTTTTAACAGTAAGGTATTTCAAATCACTTATATTAAGATTGGAAACTAAGGCTTCCTTATTCATTCCTCCTTTAAATATGGCAAATATGAAAAATTCTATACTTTAATCTAGAATTATACATTTTAAATGGGTACATTTTGACTTTGATCTTGGTTCATCTGAGGATGAATTGCTAACTTCATGAAAGTAATTTTGTTCAGTTCAAAGATAAACCTTAATTATTCTATTTCTCTGCTGAAAATAGAATACAGACACAACTTTTTGAGTAAGTTGTTTGGCATCTGTGTAACTGAGTAGCTAATGTAATGATGCCAAAAGACAGACAGGCTCTCCCTATTTAAGAATGTTTAGATTAGTCATGAGAATAATGCAGGGGGACAGCTGGAATTAGTGTTTTAGTGTAGTGGGTTTAGCCACTGGGGATGCCCACATCCCAGATCAGAGTGCCACCTGGGGTCCTGGCTCCTCTGCTTCCAGGTCAGCTCTGTCAATGCACCTGGGAAGGCAACAGATGAAAGTGCACAAGTGTTTGATTCCTTCACCACATGGGAGACCTGGCTGGCTTTCCCTAACACTGGCTTTGCCCTGAGCCAGCTCCGCGTATGGGCGGCATTAGGGCACTGAAGCAGCCGATGGAGGGTCTCTATCCACCCCCTCACCTGTCGCTCTGCCTTTCAAGTAAATAAAATCTTCAATAATTTTATTTATATTCTATTGTTCCAAGATGTTTAAAAACAAATAGAATTTACAGTGGATATTGTAAGAACCCATCTTACTTTAACAGCAACTTTTGCACCAAACACACTAGTAGAGTTTGTCAACAAGGCACTGAAAAAGAGCTCAATAAAAGAAATGCTAATTTTTCAGGACATTCTGGGTTATAAGTAGAAGGTATCTATACTTCAGAGCACAGAGCACATTCACTTCAATCGGTGTTGATCAATCCAATTACAGAATTAGAGACTTCTGTTCAAAATATTATGCCCAAGATAGACACTAAGAACAACCATAACAACAAACTAATGAATTAGTAAGGATTCCCTTATCAACAAACCAGGTATCTTTCAGTGGCAAGAATTCTTAATTTACACCTTGCGGATCTCTGCTTAAAGATATAGTTGACTTGTCTATATGGGCATATTTGCTACAAAGAATCAATACAGTTATTTGCCTACATGGAATCATGTTCCTGCAGAGAAAATGCAGGTTTTATCCAGGACAACAATGTACTCAGCTTTCAAAACAAACTTCTTTTCTTCCTCTACAGCCTCCAGGCTAAGGAAATTTTGCCCTGTTTTAAGATAGAATTCTAGGGACAGATTTTTAAAAGGTGACAAACACCACATGGCTCTGTTTTAAACACACAAAGATACACATAGATTTTTTTTAAAAAGATAAATATTTTACTTTTGGGATAAAATAAATCCAAAGGCCAGGGTCAGGATATTATAAACTTATCTGTGGTTATGTCCAAGAAGTCAGTAGACTAAATAATAACACTAAACACATTTTGGTGGCCGGAAGAGTGGTTCAGCAGCTAATCCTCCCCTGTCAGCACCAGCATCCCACACGGACGCTGATTCCTGTTCCAGCTGCTGCACTTCCGGTCCAGCTCCACATATTGCCTAGGAAAGCAGCGGAGGACCCAAGGCCTTGGCCCTCCAACACCGGTGTGAGAGATGAGACTAAGGCTCCTGACTCCTGGTCAGCTGAGCTCTGCTTGTTGTGACCATTTGGGATTAAACCAAGAGATGAAAGACATCTCTTTCTATCTCTCCCTCACTCTTTGTAACTCTGCCTTTCTAATAAATAAAATAAATCTTTTATGCTTTTGATTGAAAATGTACACAGAAGTAAGTAACCTAATATCCATTTATCCTTACAGTTTTCTTTTAATATGTAATTACTATTTGATTCAATTTTTAAAAAAGATTTATTTATTTTTATTGGAAAGGCAGATTTATAGAGAAAAGGAAAGACAGAAAGATCTTCTATCCCCAAGTAGCTGCAACGACCAGAGCTGAGCTGATCTGAAGCCAGGAGGCAGGAACTTCCTCCAGGTCTCCCAGACGGGTGCAGGGTCCCAAAGCTTTGGGCCATCCTCAACTGCTTTCCCAGGCCACAGGCAGGGAACTGGATGGGAAGTGCAGCAGCTGGACATGAACCAACGCTCCAACGCTATAATTACTATTTTAAAAGATACCAAATTATGACAGTGATAGATTTAAACTCATTGACTAAGAATTCATGGGTGCAGAGCAGTACGAATAAATAAATGCCTAAGGAAAGTACTTTCTTATATAACAGAATGCCAACTAACAAATACTGAGTGAATGACAGAAGTAGGAAAGCACCATTTGGTGACCGATACTGAGATAAGTGATTCTGTCACGAATCATCAGTTGATGCTAAAGCTAGTAACAGGTTTCATGAGGAACACGATTTTTGCAGATTAAGTCTGAAAATATCTCACCAAAAAATACTGGTAATTTCAAAGGGGAAAATAGGAACTTTACAGGGAGAAATCTGACAAACCTCAACAAAGCAGGGAGCTGTATGGGAAGTAGAGCTGCCGGGATTAGAACCAGTACCCATATGGGATCCTGGCATGTTCAAGGTGAGGACTTTAGCCACTAACCCACGCCGCCAGACCCTGTTGCTAATTTTCAAATTGGTACTAATTTTGAATTGTTGTTAATGTAAGTAAATTATTTCAAAGTAAACATTAACATAAACAAAGAGGTAAAAACAAAGAATTCATTAAAACAGAAGAAAACAGAGCTTAGGGCCCAGCACAATAGCATAGCGGATAAAGTTCTCACTATGCACATGCCAGGATCCCATATGGGCACTGGTTCTAATCCCAGCCACTCCACTTCCCATCCAGCTCCCTGCTTGTGGCCTGGGAAAGCAGTCGAGGACGGTCCAAAGCCTTGGGACCCTGCACCCGTGTGGGAGACCTAGAAGAGCTCCTGGCTTCGGATTGGCTCAGCTCCAGCTGTTGCGGTCACTTGGGGAATGAACCATCGGATGGAAGATCTTCCTCTCTGTCTCTCCTCCTCTATGTATTTCCAATAAAAATAAAATAAATCTTAAAAAAAAAAAACCCAAAAAACAAAAAACAGAGCTTGAAGAGCAGATTCCAGACAACCAGGATAGGACACCTCTGGTTTAATAATTCACCTACATGAAGTATAATGGCTGTCCTTCACCCAAGATTTTTTGACATTTTCAAGAATGTTGCATTTCTCTCACTTTATTGATAGGAAAAAGGCATGTATAAAAGTTCCTAAAGTGAGGTGAGTAAATTTGGAACAGAGAACGGGACAATGTTGGCTTTCCAGGATAACCCAAGTGTTCACAGGTGACACGGCTGAACATGACAGAAGGTATTCATTTACCTTGCTCTGTTGTAAATCACTGGCTCGTTTTCTTCCTGCACAGTCGCCAGCATATCCAAGTCTTGGAATATTTTCTGCATATAGTCTAAATATTTATATCCTGAAGCTCTTTCTACTATGGCTGCCAGCAGTGTATAGCCAAAAGTTGAATATAAAAACTGACTACCTTGAGAGATCATTGCAAGGGGGAGAAAAAAAGAATGTGATTATTCACAATTACATAAAACATTTTCCGACTGAAAATTGGCATGCCCTTAAAACTAGAATTTACTTCAGTATTTAGAAAATTATCATGGCTGACAAATCAACCAAGTGAATTTTCCAATAAGCCTGCTTACTCCATGCCCCTAACATGAGAACATAATAATGACTAGTAAATGTACAATTGCACAGGGCTCTGTTTTTTCACTAGGCAGGAAACTTATTTTGAAAGATAAAATCCATAATCACATTTTCTTGGTCCTTAATAAGTATATTTATATAACATTTATTCACAGTAAATAACTTTTAAAACGACAATCGAAAGTTACTTAAGCCTATGGTAAATTGAAAGATTTATTAAGTGCCTTCAACATTTAAAAACAATGTATTAAAAAAGCTAATTACCATATAATTGCTTTTTGAGAAATAAAAATAAGTTGATCAACATTCAATTATTTAAGGAATGAAGGCACAAAATTAGTTGAGTAGTATAAATTCTAACTAAGCACTATACTATTAGCGACACTTTACCATGTGAACTGTGATCCAGGTTTTTATTTGAAGAACTATTCTTCCATGATTCTCCATGAATATCTTGATTCATAGAATCCTCTCAATGAGGCTAAATCTGAACTTCCTGCCTGGAAGCCAGCCTTGCAAAGAGATGGTAGGCAAAAAGGCAAGCGCTGTATTGCCTTTCATGCAGTTGCAAACCTCTCAGGCTGCACCCAAGATGGTATGATTTTGGTGCGCCTAAAAATGAACTGTTCATTGATGACAACTTTGTTAAGAGAAGGAATTAACCAACACTCACCAGGTTTAAAGAACAAAGGATCGTTTTTAAATAATCTTAGGGATTCAATAGAATTTTCAAATTTTTCTTTCAAATATAATTCGCCTTGTTCGAAATCATTCTTTTTTTTGCCAGGTTTTGAATTCCGGCTTTTGGCTTCAGGGTCTTGCTCTGTTTTAGGTTTTGCAAAATAATTTTTTTCATTATTTTTGTCTCCTTTTTCTTTCAGTTCTCTTTCGTGGTCAGAGATGACTGTATCCTTGATCATCTTCAAGGCTTTGTAAGCTTTTTCTTCTTTCACCTTTTTCATGTCCTTTTCATAATGACGAATTCCACTTAAATGGGAAATCAGTAATCTTGTTGTGACAGAAACCTAATTGTAAAAACACCATAATTCAATTTGCAACAATAAATTGTACCACCAAAGTTAGTAACTTTGAGATAATGTCTTAGTAACAGTTTCCATTTTAAAATGATGCTGGAGAAAGAATCACATATGGATCACATACTTGGCCTCAAGTTTCAGAAAAACACCTATGTGATTACCATCTAGAGTTAGAGTAACCTTATTTATTAACACTAATAAAAACAACCCAGAGAACTCTATGGAGTTATTTTAGCTATCACCTCTGGCATAAACCATTTAAAATGCCATTAATAAAATGAACTGTGAATTTTACTACCTTTTCACCTTCATATTCCTTCTCAGGGAATTCAGGAACATAATGTTGCACTGGAATATCAAGATCCAGTTTCCCGGCTTCCCAGAGTTTGGCAAGAGCAACCATGGTGAGGCTTTTGCTGATGCTGGCGATTCTCATGACCGTCTCTGGCTTGCATGGCACACGGTTCTCAACATCGGCATAACCCAAACCTTTGTGGGGAGTAGAGGAAAACCACTCTCAGCCAGCATGGTCCAACAAGTTTTCAAAAACCAAAGCAATACTCTTCAAACACCCTGTTACGTTTATCTAAAGAAAAAAAATATCCTACTTTTATAATCTACTTAAAAGTGGACATGAAAGGAAGTAGAATGTTAGCAGCACTAACAATAGCAAGCTCAACTTAACCTTGTAACTAAACTGAAATCCTACCCGGCATGCAACAGCATTTTTCCATCTGATTCAAATACTAATTCTTCTCAGCTTATCTAAACAATATGGCTTAACAGATTTTTAAAGAAATTACATTCTTTAAAGAAAATGATTTTGTTCTTTTTCATATTATATTCTACTGAATTCCTTAAAATAGCTTCTTGCCCCCATACAAAATCAACATAAAAAGTCTTTAAAATGAAATCTTGCTAACCATAAACCTAATTCAGTTGCAAACCAGAAGCAAGACCAATCTAAAGCTCCTTCTAGAACAAAGGTTGGGTCTAGTTTCCATCTTCTACAGAGACTGAACAGATGGAAATCCAAGAGATATAACGAACTGATGTCTGACCAGAAAGATGAGCGCAAGGGGATGGATGCTCGGTCAAGTGGTGAAGCGCCCATCTGGGAGAGCCTGGATTCAAGAGCTGCCTCCAGTGCACGAGGGCTCCAGTTGCTGCCCCAAGGGAAGAGGCCTGATGAAGTCCCCAGCTCCCAATGCAGCCTCTACCCACCCACTGTGCTCACTCAGAGTGAATGCAGAGGCGCTCACTTTGTCTTCCTCTCAAATAAACAAATAGATATTTTTAAGAAAGCATAATGAATGTTTTTAAATGTTTTGTATAAATATATAAATGTACATTATGGTGTATACTTCTATAAAGACAAAACCCTCACCATAAATGGACACAATTTTTGATTCTCAGAAATAAAATAGAGTGACTTATTAGGATAGTCCTGATAACTTACTTGGGGGAGAATCACTTTTCCTTAAGTTGAAAAGGCCTTATGCTGTCATCAACTTCTAAAAGTGCTGCTTTCATTTCAAAATTATGTATTTATTAAAAAGGCAGAAAGGCACAGATTGATTGCCCATCTCCTGGAAGCTAGACCTGCTAGCCTAACCCAGGTTGCCTAAGTGGGTGGCAAGGACCAAATGGCTGGAGCCGTGACCTGCTGCCTTGTAGAGTGGGAAGCAGCATCAAGATAGAGCAAGCAGTCACTCCTGGAACTCCAGTACTAGGACAGGGGATGCGGGAGTGCCAGGCAAGGTCTTACCCATCATGCCAGATGACTCCTGCAAAAATATGCTATTTGCAAATGTCTGAAATGTCATTTCCTCAGTTGGATGCCTAAAAACTTGGCTTGACCAACTGGCCCAATGTGTGCAATGGAGAAGTCAGCATCATAACATGAACATAAATCCTTCTAGCAAAGCTTTAGTTTTTGTTTCAAAAATAGTTAACACCTATGCCAAGTGAAAAAGGGTAGCCTGCAAGCTCAGTAAGTAGATATTCCCAGCACCTAGTACAGTGGCTTTGGCTGAATGGGGGACTCCATAGGTGACTGACCTTGGAAAATGCAGAAATCTGTCCATAAGCACTACTTAAGAATATGCAGTCAACGGACTGCTTTATACACAATCTTTTGGTCAATAAATTCGAAAAGGAAGCAAAAAAGAAGGGTTAGAAGCAGTAATCTTTAAGATGTTGTCATCTTAAGTCTTGCTGCGATTAAAACAAAAACACAATCCTAATCTTTATTCTGTTCGACATGTTTTTTCTGACATTCGTGTCACTTTATATAAAAACCAAACAGCAAGTATGTTATAGAATTCACTCCCCACAGGTAAAACGTTAACTACTTAATTCACCAAATGGCATCATACAAAGTCACGAAATAAAGCACTTTTCTGAGCCCACCTTCTGACCAGACTTCTTTTCCATCTACAGAAACTCCAATCACTATGCCCGGTGCGCCCACCTCATCCTAAGGCAAGGAGAAAAGAACCAAGTTCAAAAAGGTTGGAGGACTCTTGTGCCCCGCCCCCTGGCACTCTCATTGGAGGCCTCTCTAGGCCCCGCCCGCCCCGGAGAGGGTCCCGCCTACCCACCCCAGTAGAGGACCCCGCCCACCTCGGAGAGGGTCCCGCCCCCTGGAAAGGGCCCCGCCCACCCCGGAGATGACCCCCGCCCACCCTGGAGAGGGGCCCGCCCCCTGGAGAGGGTCCTGCCCATCCGGAGAGGGTCCCGCCCCCAGCAGCGGCCTTGCCCACCGCAGTAGAGGACCCCGCCCCCAGCAGCGGTCCCGCCCACCCCGGAGAGGGTCCCGCCCCCAGCAGAGGCCCCGCCCACCCGTTCGGCCTTGCGGGAAGGCTCACCGCGAGGGGCGCGCCCGGTCTAACCACTGAGGGAGGCGAGGCGGTCCCCCAGGCAGGCCGTGACCTCCGCCCCGACTTGGGCAACCCCCAAGAGCGAGTGGCTGTGGGCAGGCGGGGAGGAAACGGGAAGTCCTCGGAAGCCGAAGCTGGCATCCTACCGCCCCCGCTAACCCCCACCCCAGGGGAGGACCACCACTCTGGGGTGAGCCCGGTCCCCGGGCCCCTCACCTTGATCCTGTGCAGCAGATCCCGGCTGCTCTCAATGGCTCTGGCGAAGCACCGGGGAGGGGTCGGCGCCGGCGTCTGCGGAGCCCAGGGGGAGAGGGGCTGCTCCTGCGGGGCGTCGGCCTGAGGCGACGCGTCGGGGTCCGGGGCCTCGGGGGGCTGCGCGGGGCCCGCGCCCCTCAGCCCGCCCGCCAGCTTCGCCCCGAGCGCCAGCCCCAGCCCCAGCCCCAGGCCGCCGGCCCAGCCGGGGCCCAGCGGGGGCAGCCCGGCCCGCCGGTGGGCCTGCCGCCGCCCGGAGCTCCAGGCTCGGCCCCCGAGGGTCGCTGCTGACAGGAGCCGGTACATGGAGTCGGGGCGCAGGAGCGGCCGCCTCAGCAGCTCGCGCAGGCCGAGCGGGCGGCGCCGCGGGCGGGGCGGGGACACGCGCAGGCCCCGCGGTCGACAGCCAATGGCGCGGAGCCCCAGCCCGCCTTCTGCCCGCCTCCTTTCCCATCTTTGTCTTCTTCCTACTTCTCGCCTCACACTGTCACCTCCTCCGAGAAGCTTTCCCTAATCCGCGTCCCGACACCGTGCTCACCCACACCACCTCGCCACCGAGACAACACCTGACACTGTGTCAGGAACTCAGCACCTGGAAAGGAGCAGATTGTGATGAACAAGAAATCAAAACTCAAATTACCACAAAATGTGAAATGAATAGAAATTTTGCCAGTGAAGACTCAGGAAAACCTTAACGATGCCCTCTTCTGAAGTTGGAAGTACAGATTTGGTTGACTATATCTCAGCTCAGAAATTTGTTAGGGTTTATTTTTGTAGGCTAAATTTCTGTACCTACTATAATTATTCTTATTATCTCAAGATTTCTGGGCCCCAACGTAGCTCTAAGACTTGACTCAGAGGCCAGTGTCAGTGTTGTGCAAAGCATTTTAAACTCTCTTTGCCACACTAGCTTTGACTGTCAGAGTACCAGTTGAGTTCTGGCTGCTCTACTTCCTGCTAATGTGCCAGGAAAGGCAGTGGAAAATGGTCGAATTTCCTGAGTGTCTGCCACTCATGTTGGAAACTAGGCTAGATGTCCCAGCTCCTGGCTGTAGCCGTTTGGGGAGTAAACCACATCATGAAAGGTTTCTTTCTGTCACTGTCTTTCAGACTAAGTAAATCTTTTTTTTTTTTTAAAGATTTATTTTTATTATTTTTTCATTGGAAAGGCGGATATACAGAGAGGAGAGACAGAGAGGAAGATCTTCCGTCCGATGATTCACTCCCCAAGTGAGCGCAACGGGCCGATACTATGCCGATCCGAAGCCAGGAGCCTCTTCAGGGTCCCCCACGCGGGTGCAGGGTCCCAAAGCTCCGGGCCGTCCTCGTCTGCTCTCCCAGGCCACAGGCAGGGAGCTGGAAGGGAAGCAGGGCTGCCGGGATTAGAACCGGCGCCCATATGGGATCCCGGGCGTGCTAGGCGAGGACCTTTAACCACTTGCGCCACCGCTCCGGGCCCAGTAAATCTTTTAAAAAGAAGAACTTCGGCCCAGTGCGATAGCCTAGTGGCTAAATCCTTGCCTTTCATGTGCTGAAATCCCATATGGGTGTCTGTTAGCGTCCTCGGTACATTTCCCATCCAGCTTTTGCTTGTGGTCTGGGAAAGCAGTAAAGGACGGCCCAAAGCCTGGGGACCCTGCACCCTCGTGGGAGATTCAGAAGAAGCTCCTGGCTCCTGGCTTCAGATCAGCTCAACTCAGGCTGTTGTGGCCATTTGAGGAGTGAATCAGCAGATGGAAAATCTTTCCCTCTGTCTTTCCTTCTCTCTGTAAATCTGCCTTCCCAGTGCAAATAAAATAAGTCTTTAAAAAAAACCTGATATATATAATATTTATATATTTTATAGTATATTTACATATATATAGAGAGAGAACTTTAAAATTTTTTTCTTTATTACAAAGTCAGATATACAAAGAGGAGGAGAGACAGAAAGGAAGATCTTCTGCCCAGTATGCCCAACATAGTAGTTCAGTCTTAACACTGAGTTATAATGGATATGTGGCGGGGTCTCAGGATGTGGTGTCTCATGCCCAGATCCCAGACGCCAGCCACCACGTGCATGTGGTAAGCTGTCCCCGGGCCTGCCTGGGCTCCAGGGACTGCTCCCTTAGGGGTGAGTACACCGAGGGGGGAGGTCTCTGTGACTGGGCAGGTCCGGGGCCCACCCACTGCTCTCATTGAGCGGTGGATGGGATTGGGGAGGGTGCGACCTTGGGCCTGGGGGGTTAAACTTCCTGCAGCCTGCCCGGCTGCTGGTGGGTCTCAGGACGGGGCATCTCATGCCTGGATCCCTGATGCCAGCCACCTTGTGCAGGTGGTGAGCTGTTCCCGGGTGGCTAGTGCGCCATTTGGCGCCAGGCTCCACCTGCTGGCTGCCTGGCTGGGAATTCTGGGGTTTTGGTTCTTTGAACTGCTGCTTAGGTAGCTCCAGGTTGAACTCACTGTGCTTCTGGGATATGAATCAATCCTAAAGATTTCCAATGACAGTAACTCTTCCTTTAAAGAACTTGTAATCACTTAACAATGCTGATCACCGAACACCAGTTAATGTAAAAGCTAAGGCTTGGGGCTTGTCCAGCAGGATATTCTATTACCTGACATGATGATGGATCAGCAGACGGGTCACTCTAGGCAGGGCCATGACATTAACTAGCACTCGAGACCATATCTGGGAGTAGATTCTGTAGGGGATGTGTGGACCAAACCCTGTGGAAATTCTAGCCCCACTGGTTAGCTCAGGAGTTAGGGTGGTGATGGACTAAGCTAGGTGTGACCAAGGAGCTTGCCACCAATCACAGGTAAAGGAACCCCCAACAGTCTGGACTGGTCAAGGCAGCAGCATCCAAATATGCATCCTGAATAGGGTGTGGGGTGGGCCAGGCTGCAATGTTCACCAGCTCATACAAGGCCAAAACGAAGATCAGACTGCACTGGGCACTAGCCTAAAACCCAGTGGCATGTATAAGAACTGGGTTTGGGAGTAGATCAAGTGGAGGAACTTGGGAAACTCCCCTGACAAGTCATAGCTCCCACTGGTGAACAGGTGATCCAGACCTGGGGGTCGGACAAGCTGGACAAAGTAGCTCCAACAGCTGGCTAATGTGTCAATTGGTAATGGAACGGGATGTACTGGGCAGGACTGAGCAAACCTTAGCCCACAAGCGAAACTAGAAACCAGGATGGAGCATAGGTCATGCTGAGCTAGGCTCTTACACCTACTGGTCTGCGTGAGTCAGGGACGCTAAGACACAGTGTCTAAGGCAGAGACCGGGACAGGTGAGGGGCTGAGCCAAGCTGAGTCAGAGCAACCACTGGCATGCGTGCAATCTATGGCTGGGAAGAGGTCTAGTTGGGGAGCTAAGGGGACAACCCTAGCTGGGTTGAGGTTCCCACCAAGGGGCGTGTGACCTGGAATGGGGGCTGCGTCCTGAATGGGACACGGTTGTAGTCTCCCTTGGCACAAATGTGGACTGGGATTGGATGCACCAACCGGGCCAGACTCCAACACCCTCTGGTGTCCTGGAGGACCAGGGCAGATGTGCGATGGACTAGCCAAGGTTTCAACCCCCTACTGAGCCATGTGTGAGTCATATGAGGGTATGGAAGAGCCATGGCTGGACTGAAACATCCAACAGCAAGAACCAGTTTGGGTTGAAGGTCAGTCAGGAAAAGCCACTGTTTCTGCTAGGACAGGAGGCGAACTGAGTAGGTCTGGCTCATGGACACCCTGGTATGTGGAAAATCTGGCATTGGGAGAGGTTCTGATGGAGGAACCTGGGCAATTCTTCTGGCAGGACACAGACCCAGCAGGTAAGTGCAAGAAACATGATAGGAAACAGCCAAGAATAGGCCATGGAAAGTTTCCCACTGGCATACATTTGACATGGGTTGGGGGCAGACCAGGCTGAATCAGTTCACGTCATCCACTGGCACAGTAGCCTAGCAGCTAAAGTCCTTGCCTTGAATAAGCCCGGATCCCATATGGGTGCTGGTTCTAATCCCGGCAGCCCCACTTTCCATCCAGCTCCCTGTTTGTGGCCTGGGAAAGCAGTTGAGGACAGCCCAAAGCTTTGGGACCCTACACCCACCTGGGAGGCCTGGAAGAGCTTCTGGCTCCTGACTTTGGGTTGGCTTAGCTCTAGCCATTGGCGGCCGCTTGGGGAGTGAACCATCGGATGGTAGCTCTTCCTCTCTGTCTCTCCTCCTCTTTGTATATCTGATTTCACAATAAAAATAAAATAAAGCTTTAAAAAAATCTTAAAAAAATTCAGTTTAAAAAGTAGATTAAAACACATCTATAGAGATTTAGATTAGACCTCAGAAAGAACCCACCAGCACAAGACTTCTGTGCAGGACGGTAGTGGCCAGTGGCCAGGACTCTGGGATAGAGCTGGTCAAACGGCCATGCTCCTATTGCTATGATCCTGCCATCTGCTGTGGATTCATGTCTTGTCACTGAGTTCTTCCGCTTTCTTTCCTGAAAGCTTCTCGCTGAACTTCTGATCTCAAGCTCATTGAAAGTTTTTTTTGCCAGGCTCCATTCCTAATCATGCGACACCTATTCCTTGGATTTCTGCTCTCCGCCAGAGTTGGTACCAAGCAAGCAAGCCCAGCCCTCTGGGAACTTACTGGCTGCAAGCAGACGGTCACGCGTCACAGAAATGGACAGAGAAAGGTAAAAGCCCAGTGTTGACAAGCACCATGCAGAACGCTGAAACAGTACGATGGCAAGTTCTTCTATCCTGGAAGAGTCCCTCACTTTGGTTTGTGCCTGCACATGTTTTCAGGGGATCCAGACATCTCAGGGAAACATCTCTTTGTGTCTTTCACCACCTTGGTTTATTTATTTATTTACTTAATGTTTTTAAGTTTTGAGAATTCTTTTTTTTTTGGAAATTATTTTGACAATCTTTGATTAGGGCACAAAGAATCAAGAGCTACAGTAAAGTGGGTAAGACTATTGTTTCCACATTATTAATTTTCTGTGTCTGGGGTAAATGGGGAGATAACGGAGAAGCCCCACCCAGTCTCCCACCCATCCCAGGTCCCTGATGTGGGGCATACTCTGAGGGTCCTGCTCAAGTGGTTTTGATTGTTCAACAGTTCTGAATTTCTGCCAACCTCGCCATTCCAAGCACAAAGTGAGAATTCTTTATATCCTAGAGGAGACTAGTTGCTAGTCCTCTGCTGGATGTATGTTCTGAAAATATTTACTAGCGATGTGCAAATGTGTGTACCACAATGAGCAATTAGTACACACTTCCCAGAATGGCACAATTTACTGACAGTGACCATTCAAATACTAG